GATAGGGCTTAAATTCAGTAAGCTGAGCCAGAATGTCAGAAAATGAAAAATGTGAAGTTAATAACAGGTAGGTTCAATTTTGAGTAATACAGATCTCAATTAAATTCTCTATAAAGTACTTTTACCTATCTGTTTAACAGATGAATGTACTAAGTTTTCCCACGGAGTAGCTCTGAGCAGTGGTAATATGGACATTCACTGAGAACAGACAATCCCACTCCTTCACCCTCTTCTTCGTCATCATCTTTGTTATAGGCAACATAGAACGGCCTGGGTTGAAAAGGCCCACAATGATCATCTAGTTTCAAAAAACATCTGTGATTCCATCATGAGAGACCCTGTACTTGTATTCCTTTTCTTCCTCTCTCCGTACTACAAGAAAGAAGTGGCATGGCACATTGCATACCTAAAAGGATATCAAGCCTGAAATTATTACACCTCTGCCTTCAGCAGGCAGATGTTCACAACCATTATAGGAATATACGGCCCATCACCACATGAAGGTGGGCGTAATGAGAGGATAGATGATATAGGATAACTATCTAGTTCAAGTATTAGATGGACAGCCCCGAGGAGAAGCTCTACTGGACCTGGTGCTCACCAATGCAGAGAACATTAGAGGGTTAAGATTGGAGGCAGCCTGGGTTGCAGTCATAATGCCCTGGTAGAGTTTGTCATCTTGAGGAATGCATGCCTGGCAAAAAGTAGAGTCAGGACCCTGAATTTCAGGAAAGCAAAATTCCGGCTGATCAAGGAATTGCTGGGTGGATCTCGTGGGAAAGTGTCCCTGAGGACAGAACAGAGCTAGCAGCTCTTCAAGATTGCAGGAGCTCTCCATCCCCCAGCAGAAGAAGAAACGGAGCAGAGGAGGAGGGCGAGTGGTATGGCTGAGCAAGGACCTGCAGCTTAAACTGTATTAGGGAAAAGCGGAAAGAGGGAAATGTACAGGAAGTGGAAGCAGGGTTGTGTAGCCTGTGAAAAATATAGGGACATTGTATACATGTGCAGAGATAGCATCAGGAAAGCCAAGGCAAAGATGGAGGTGAACTTGGCAAGGGATGAGAAAAATAAAAAGAGGTTCTAGGGGTGCGTAGGCAGGAGGAGACAGACAAAGAAGATCATAGGCTCCCCCTCTGGTAAATGAGGATGGAGAACTGGCTTACTCAGACATGGAAAAAGCTGAGGTATTCAATAATAGCTTTGCCTCGGTCTTCACTGGTGGTCAGGCTCCTCTGCATGTCTGCCCTGAACCTCTAGGTGAGGGTGAGAGGAGTGGATTCTGACTCATAGTAACAGTGGAACAAATCTTAGACTTCCTCATGAAACTGAATGTATATAAGTCCATGGGCCATGTGATATCCATCCTAGGGTATTAAGAGATGGCTGATAAAGCTGCCGAGCTGCTCTTCATCATATTTGACAAATCATGGCTGTCAGGTGAAATCCCCAGTGACTGGAAAAAGGGAAACATTACTTATATTTTCAAGAAAGGGAAAAAGGATGATCCAGGGAACTACAGGCCAGTGAGCCTCATCACTATACCTGGGAAGATTATGGATCATGGAGCAGAACCTGCTGGGTACCTTATTAAGGCACATATGAGATAGAGGTGATCCAGGACAGCCGGCATGGCTTCACCAAGGGCAGATCTTGCCTGACCAACCTGGAGGCCTTCTATAATGGAGTGACAGCACTGGTGGACAGTGAAAGGGCAATAGATGTCATCACTCTGGACTTCTGCAAAGCCATGAAAAAGGATAAGAACCTGGCATAAAGATAAATTATAATGTGGTCTGAGTTAAAGATAAGCTGCTAAGCTTTATAAGGAAATTTGCCTTCCCATCATCACTGTAGAACTGTCAGGTCACAGCTTCAATTGCTGACTGAGCACCTGGTGAACGGATGTGACCAGAAGAAGTAGACCCAGGGTGGGGACGTTCTGGGCTCATATGAAGGCTAGTCACTGAAGGGAACATATCTCTTGGACCTAGGATGCTTTTTGAGAAGGAGCTAGAAAGCCCCTTCACCAGCGGAGCGAGTTAAACTCTTCCTTCTGCATGTGATTATTGGCCTACCCGTGAATGTTTTACCTGTCAGAAACAATTTTGCTTCTTTCTGAGCAGAACATTTGGTGTAGTTGGCAGGGTACCAAGGAAAGCATCTTAAAGACAGAAATAGCATTTGTAAAGACTATTCCTGAGCTCCATCAGAAGAGGGGTGGCCAGCAGGGACAGGGAAGTGATTGTCCCCCTCTACTTTGCCTTTGCGAGGCCCCATCTGTCTCCAGGCTTGGGGCCTCCAATGCAGGAAAGATGTGGAGCTGCTGGAGAGGGTCCAGAGGAGATCCACAAAGACAGGCTGAGGGAGCTGGGCTTGTTCAGTCAAGGGAAGAGAAGGATGGGAGGAGACTTCATTGCAGCCTTCCAGCATTTAAACGGGGATTATAAACAGGAGGGGAATCAACTTGTTACAAGGGTAGACAGTGACAGGACAAGGGGAACGGTTTTAAGCTCAAGGAGGGAAGGTTTAGATTAGATGTCAGGGGAAGTTCTATACAGAGAGCGTGGTCAGGTGCTGGAACAGGCTGCCCAGAGAGGTTGTGGATGCTCCGTCCCTGAAGGCTGGATGGGGCCCTGGCTACTTGGTCTACTACCAAATCTGGAGGTTGGTGGCCCAGCCTGTGGCAGGGGGGTTGGAACTTGATGATCCTTGAGGTCCTTTCCAACCCAAGGCATTCTGTGATTCTGTTCCACAATGGTTTGGATGCAGAAGATCTCTCTTGAAAAGGAGTTACCCGGGTTTCTAGTATCTCTGTAGCATTCTGCCGTGGAGGTAGTAGAAAAACGGAAACCATTTAGGAGTTACAGGGACATTCCCAAGTTGCCATCTTGTATGGCTGAATTTCTTGGAAAATTTGAGAAATCATATTTCAACTGCTAGGGAAAGGCAGCTTAATGCATCAACTGTGGCATGGCCATAGCTAGTAGCATTCAAGTACATTGAGTACTTGAAGTGAGCGTATAAACAGGAGTGGGAATGGCTGTTTATGAGGGTGAATAGTGATATAGGACCAGGGGGAATGGTTTTAAATTGAGATATGAGAGGTCTAGGTTAGATATCAGGAGGAAGTTTTTCACTCAGAGAGTGGTGATGCACTGGAACAGGTTGCCCAAGGAGGTTGTAGATGCCCCATGCTTGGAGCATTTAAGTGTCTCGTTCCAATTTATAAGAGGAAGAGGAGGTTCTTTAGTATATGTATACACCCAGCGTGAGATTAAGAAACAACGGTTGAAATGTTGGTCTGACCGGTTTATTATAATCCTAATCAGGGAGACAGGGAAGGGCAGGATGGCGACTATTACGAATTAGAGTGATGGGGAAGGGAAGGAGGACGATAGAAAAGATAGGAAAGAAGCAAGAATTATGTAAAGCGGGCATAGTCACCACCAGGATCTAGCAGCATCCCATTGCAAGGCATTTCGAAGGTTCGAGACAAAAGCAGCAGAGGGAGAGCAGCACAGCGTGGTTCAGCCTTGGGCAGAAAGCAGGTAGCAGGAAGAAGTCGCAGAGCAGATCCAGGAGGAAACAGCAGGACTCAGGCAGCAGACCCAGGAGAGTCCATCAGCATGCAGGAATTCCATAGTGAGGAATCTGATGGCATTCTTCATTCTTCAGCATGCAGGTAGAGCACAGAGCAAGTCCAGGAAGGAGAGAAGGAGGTTGTGAGGCTTCTCATGGCAGAAACCTCTTCTTTTTTTGAGGAATCTGTTGCCAGAAAACCTCACCTCATGGCTGTAGGTTCCCTTTTTATCCTTCTTCTGGCAGCATGGCATTCCTGGGTGCTTGGGTAAGGCATGTGATGTAACCCCTGAGATGGCCATCTTCCTCGAGATAAGCCAACAGAAAAGGCTGCTTCCTGGCCATTAATCTCTAGCTTGTCTCTCTCTCATTGCTCCTGGCCTTGTCCATCTGTGTCCCTCAGACAAACAGTTTCTCAACCCTTGCCCAGGACTTGCTTGGACTTGTCCATCTGTGGCCCCAGCAGGCTTTGAGACAATGATGTAAGAGAATGATCTCTTACAGCCAGGCTGGATGTGGCTCTGTGCAGCCTGGTCTAGTGGTTGGTAACCCTGTCCATGTCAGGGAGGTTGAAACTTGATGGTCATTATGGTCCTTTTTAACCCAAACCATTCTATGATTCTATGATATTGGATCTGTCATCGTCCTTCCCTGCACAACCAAATACGTGTAAGCCATGCAATCAATACTCTCTAATGGGCAGCATTTCCGAGGTTCATTTGTTATCTGAGAACATGACGCATGTTGAATTTGATTCTTCATAATGCATTTGGTATTAACAGGAAAATCTGTCAAACACCTCAGAAGTCACTTTCTCATTTGTGGTATTCTTGTAGCTAATTATAATAAACAAATTGCAATAAACAAGTAAGTTTCTTATAATTAAAACTGAGCCAGAATTCTGAAGTTTTCCTTTTGCTGTGTGAGAGATTTTCTCTATCCACTCCTCATTGGGATTGTTCATATGCTATTATCTGGAAAGCTGCTCATCTGGGATCTGTGAGTGCTGCTTGAAAGCTTGGTCACATACCCACTGTTGTTAATAGCCGTTTCTCATACGTGCCTTAAACTTAGTGGTTACAAGCTGAATTTACCTTTTGTGTATAAAAAAATGTGTTTTAATTTCACTTTACTGTTATTACTTAGTATAAGAATATTCATGTAAATATTTACCTTAATTTCTCCTTCACCTAGGTTAGTTTCTACAAGTATTCCTTCCTGAAAAGTACTTTTTTGGGGAAGTATGTGGAATTTTGAAGATGCTATCAAAAAAATGCAGAATTTTCAGCAATGCTCTGACCAATATTAATCTTCAGATCAGGGGAAAAAAAAAAGAATGAAAATTGGAAATGAGATTTCTGCAACCCCAGCCCATGTCTCCCCTCACTCTGCAGCCGATCTCAGACTCTTCTGTGTTGCAGGGCAAACACAAGCTGCAGGTGGACACAGGACTGGAAGGTTCCTGGTGCGGCCTCATCCCAATTGGGAGCTCCTGTGACAGTGTTACCACGACTGGTCTCAGATGGAACCTTGGTAAGTCGGGGCCACCCTTTTCCTTCTGGCCACACATCTCCATGCAGCTGTCATTGCTGAGCATCCACGCCAGCCTCACTGCCACCCAGGGGCTTCCTACGGTGGGCATTGGAGTGTGGCACTCCATTCCTGCATCCCTGCTGGATCCCCTGCTTCATTCTGGGAATGAAGTTTTAAAAAAATCACAATATTTAAAACTGAAATATTGCAGGCAGAGACACGTTTTCAAATTGGGAGTAATATTTTAAATAGAACTTTTCTTGGAGTTGTGATAAATTGCCATCTTGATGCATTGCCCTCTATGGAGGAGATGCTGGGGGTGCCTAAAGTCCTAGTTACATGTCATAAAGTTACAACAGACAAACTGTTGTATCACAAAAATGTGATACAGATTATTAAAGCTACCTCACTTCCCCTGAACTGCTTTACATATATTGTTTGTTTGTCAACTCTGAATGACTATATCTTTGTCTTTTTCTGATTTTAAAATGGGAAGAGAAGTGGGACAGCTATTTGTAGAGAAAGATTTCTTGACCAAAACCAAACAAAAACTGAAATCATCTTCATTTTCCTGCCCAGTCTCCCACTGATTCCACTGAGTGATTCAGCTGTATTCACTAAAGGAAATAATGGGATATAAATACGGCATGAATTTCAGGGTATGAGAGACTGGTCAGATAAAAGGACGGAGAGCTGTCTGACTAGTGATGATTTCATTCTCTTAAACTGGGTTGTAAGAGCTGAATGTTTAAGGGACTGTCTCTTAAATTTAAAAAAATTAAATATTTTCATTTGTACTGATATGTACATTTGACAAGTAAGTTACAGAATATTCCTCTGCTCACTCCTGCTGTGCAGTAAATGTTGTGGCAAGTTATACTGAGGGACCAGCCATTTCTCAGCAGATATTCTGCCCTTCAGAGTGATCTGAAGGTCAGATCAGCCTAACAGTAATGGGGAAAGTCTTCGAAACTTACATCATTCTGTAAAATGCTGCTACATGGATCAAAATGTGGTGGGCTCTGTGAGGTTGCTGTCCTTTTTTGTGGTTTTGAGTGATTCGTTTAGAGAGCAAATTATTTATAATCAGAATTCTTTCTAGTTTAATGTCATAAATTTCATCAGTTTTACAAGGTGCTCATTAAAAAGAGAGTAATTTTAAAGATTTGTCTGCTGTCACCAATGGCATGGCTTTGTTACTCCTGGAGTTATGATTTGTGAATGCTGAAACTAAATGTCACCCTGTACAAAACAAAAATATTTTTGTACTTTTAAACAAAGTTTTCCACATGTTCCTCTTAAAGGAAACAGTTTACCAGTCTGCCTGTCCCAGTTTGAGGAGAACGCAGTGGGAGTTATATTAATAGCTCATAGCTAGGATGGGGTTGAGAAATTGGTTTCTTCATCTGTTTATGATTATGCTGTAACAAACTTCTTCAGGTTATTAGGAGACATAGCTAGGTATGGACTTACTGAGATTTTTATTACACGATTCAGTCTTTCTCTCTGGGAGACACCAAAGTATTGAATTGCCTGTTGTTTCATGTTAACATGGCACCATCATCCCATCTCCCAGTACTTGCTGCTCTCCATTTCCAAGAGGGAACCTCAGGCTTTACAGTCTTCTTTAGTGATGTGTTATAGGCTACACTTTGAGTCTCGGTAGTCCTGTTTCTGATGGGTAGAGAGAGACTTCACAGCATTGGGATGGCTAGCTCATGGAGTGGGAACTCAGGTGCTATTTTCCTCAGTCCATTAGGAAATAGAGAAGGATACTGAGAGGAACAGGAAACCCCCCTGATCAACACAAGTGTAAAAGTCTCATGCCATAAGAAGAATGGGGTAGTTTATTCAGCACCAGGCCTGCTGGCAACTGATGGGGTCTGTCTGTGTTAAAGTGAGAAAACCATTCTAGCTCAGGAATTGCAAGGACTCGTGGAGAGTGCTTTAAGCTCGATTTGAAGGGTATGGGATAAAACCAGTCTAACTTGAGATTGAGGGTAGTGTTCCAGGACCAGGGGTGAGCCCAGCTGAAGTGTGTCTACCCTAACACACGCAGCATGGGTAACAAACAAGACAAGCTAGAAGAGTTTGTGAGACTGTAAAACTATGACTTAGTCACCTCCACCGAAACGTGGTGGGATCATTCTCATGACTGGGGGTGTTGCAATGGAGAGCTATAAGCTCTTTAGAATGGATAGGCAGGGAAGGAGGAGCAGTGAATTTGCTCTCTGTATTAGGGAGCATCTTGATGTCTTAAAGCTCAGAACTGGGAATGATAATGCTAAGTCATTATGGGTAAGGATCAGGGGAAGATGTGGCACACAACCAGTATGAAGAGACAGATGAAGTGTTCTGTAAGCAGTTGGCAGAATTCAAACAATTGCTGGTCCTTATTGTCATGGGGGACATCAACTTACTTGACATTCACTGGAAATAGAATACAGCGGAGAGGAAACAGTCTAGGATGTTCCTTGACACAAGAGCAGGAACTTGGTGACACAGCTGGTAAGAGAAAGTACCTAATGTCTGACAAACAGAAAGAATGGTGGGACATTGTTTGAGTTCTCCATTCTTGGTGAAATTAGGATGGAGGTCAGACTTTAAGTTATTTAGTACGTTGGTACCCTTGGTACAAGGGTACCTTTAGTACCCTTACTACATTAGTACTGGTACCCTTGGGAGTCAGTCCTGAAGTACAGAGGGGTCCAGAAAGCCTGGACATTCCTCAAGAAGGAAATCTTAAAGGCGTGGGAACAGGCTGTCCCCCTGTTCTGTAAGATAAGCCAGCAAAGAAGACGAGCCAGGATGAACAGGGAACTGAGAGAGTTTCCTTTCTTTGGAAGAAGGGTCAGACATCTTGGGAAGAGTGCAGAGATGTTACTAGGGTATGCAGAGGGAAAATGAGAAAGGCAAAAGTCCAGGAAGAGCTTAATCTGGTCACCATTATTAAGGATAATAAAAAAATGTTTTTACAAATATATTACTACCAGCAAGAGAAGGGCCAAGAAGAATCTCCATCCTTGATTGGATGCAGTGGGGAACATTACCAGCGAGAATGAAAAAAAGGCTGAGGTTCTCAATGCCTTCCATAATAGTCAGACTAGCTATATTCAGCGTATTCAGGCAGGAATAGGGAGCAGAATAACCCCCCCCCCTCAATTCAAGAGGAAACATTTAGCGACCTGCTGTTCCACTTGAGCTTTCACGGGGCCATGGAGCCAGATGAGATCCACTTGAGAGTCCTGAGGGAATTGATGGAAGTGATTGCTAAGCCACTTTCCATAATTTATCAACAGTCTTGGCAAGCCAGGGAGGTCCCAGATAACTAGTGACTTGCTAATGTGATGCTCATCTACAAGAAGGGTTGGAAGGAGGATCTGGGGAATCATAAGCCTGTCAGCCTGACCTCAGTACTGGGAAAGGTTATGCAGTAGATAGCCTTGAGTACGATCATGTGACATATACAGAACAACCAGAGGATCAGGCCTCGCCAGCATGAGTTCATGAAAGGCAGGTCCTGCTTGACCAACCTGATCTCCTTTTTATTACCAGGTGACACGTGTTGTGGATGGCAGGAAGGCTGTGAATGTAATCCACCTAGACTGTAGTAAAGCCTTTGACTGTGTCCCAAAGTATTCTCTATGGAAGATGGCAGTCCATGGCTTGGGCAGGTGTACTTTTCACTTGGTAAACAACTGTCTGGATGGACAGGGACAGAGAGCGGTGGTGAATGGAGTTAAATCCAGATGGTGACCAGTCGCTAGCGATGTTCCTCAGGAATCGGGAAAGGTAAATATCTTTAATGATGATCTTGATTAGGGGATTGAACCCTCAGTAAGTCTGGAGAGAACACCAAGCTGAGAGAAGTGTTGATCTGCCTTGAGAGTAGCCAGATTGGAAGGATCCTTGGGAAGGATCTGGATAGGCTGGATTGATGGGCTGAGGCCAACTCTGTGAGCTTTAACAGGATCAAGTGGTGGGTGCTGCACTTTGGTCAAATAACTCCATGCATCACTGGAGGCTTTGGACAGAGTGGCTGGCAAACTGGATAGAGGAAAAAGTTCTGGGGTTGTTAGTTGACAGCTTGCTGAGCGTGCAGCGTGCTCAGGTGGCCAAAAAGACCAATGGAATCCTGGCTTGTATCAGATACAGTGTAGTCAGCAGGATTAGGGAGGTGATTGTACCTCTGTATTAGGCACTGGTGAGGCTTCGCGTCAAGGACTGTGTCCAGTTTTGGGCCCCTCACTGAAAGAAGGACACTGAGGCCCTGAAGTGTGTCCAGAGAAGGGCAGTGAAGCAGGTGAAGAGTCTGGAGCACAGATCTTATGAGGAGCAGCTGAGAGAACTGGGGTGTTTAGTCCAGAGAAAAGAGAGCTCAGGAGAGACTTTGTTGCTCTCTACAATTACTTGAAAAGAGGTTGTTAGTGAGATTGAGGCTGGCCTCTTTTCCCAGGTAACTAGCAATAGAGCTAGAGGTAATAGTTTCAAGTTGCTCCAGGGGTGGTTCAGGTTACATATTAGGAAAAATTTCTTCTCTGAAAGTGTGATTAGCTGTTAGATCAGGCTGTCAAGGGAGGTGGTTGAGTCACCAGCATCCCTGGAGGTTTTCAGGAAAAGGGTAGATGTGGCCTGAGTGACATGCTTCAGTAGTCATGGTGTTGATGAGGTGATGGTTGGAATAGATGATCTTACTGGCTTTTCCCAGCCTTAATGATTCTATTATTTATTTCTCTACATTATCATCACATAAAAACAAAGGTAATCAGACTTTCAATCAAGCTTTTTAATGTTTAACACAGATCTGAGTGTATCTAGATTGCTGTGCTGATTAAAATATGCAAATCCTGTAGTGTAGTCAAACAGTATCTAAACTACAGGTGCATTCATGAGATTTCATAGTCTCTGAATAGAGAAAGACGAGGATAAATACCTAAGACAGAAGCTGTATTGCAAGTTGCAAGTAGGATACCAAAACTCTCATTGGCTGCATTAGATAAACATGAAAATTATTTGTTCTGCCAGCTAAGAAACAAATGCACTTGATTTCTTTGTTGTACTTTTAATACAGTGGAATTCAGTATTTTTTTGTGTGTCTGTGAGGATGCAGCATGCATTTTGCATGTTTGTCTTAGTTAATACAAGCAGAACATTCGTTTATTTTAGCTCTCATCTTACAGAGATGAGAAAGTTTTTTTTTTATCCACACTTGCTATTGTGCAGTACATTTTCAGAACAAATTATAAACATATTCTTTCCACTCCCATAAGGACATACATCTTTTCTCTATTAAAATCTGACTTACAGCACAGGAATCAGATAATGCTTTATCTGATTTGACTCACCTGGCTGCTTGCTGACGAAAGCTCCCATATCTAATAAATAAAGAAAAATCCAGTCATGCCAGAATTACCCACCATTTGTCATCAGGTCCACAGAGGTGCTTTCACAGAATTTGAATGAGGGTAGAAATCAGCTGCAGTGTTCATCACAGAAGACATATGAGGGCAATGGTAAACTTTTCTAAGAAATGGTTCCTTTTCTAGGAAATTACTGCAGAATATAATTTAGCCTGATAATTTATGCTTCATGACTAAGGCATTTGTTATGCTGTGCATCATACCTATACTGGAAAGATATAGATGTGTATATATGTGTGTGTGTTTGTATGCAGTATGTGTGTGCTTTGCAGATAATTTTCATGCAAATTGATTTTGTTGGGCAGAAAGTGAAATTGATGTAAAAATGTTGCCATCAGAAGACTGCTACTGTCTTTTCGCTTCAAAAAGCAATAACAATAGCAACAGGAGCAAGACCTTCCTCTGCCTGTACATCTGCTGACTGCAGACTTCACAGGTGGAAAAACAAGATCCCGAATCTTTCTGACACTGTTTATATTGTTAAAGTAAATCTTTGCTGTTTTTTTCACTTCAGTGGGTTTTTGTTGACGTTGGGAGTTGCAAATGGGACTAGCAGATTACAAAAGCCATGGGATTTTGTGTGTGTCATGGCTTTATGATTTTTGGTTATCAGTATTCCACATCATAATATCATGTAGTGCACTGGGAGTTAAGGTGTTAATGCTCCAGTTCTGGGCACCTGTCCCAGAAGAGAAGAAGAGTCCCAGAAGTCTGTTTGCTGTGTTGTTAACATTTCAGCTCAGGGGGAACAGTTACAAGGCCTCGGTAGGTCATCAGACCTTCCTTCTTCATCAGCCTCTCCTCCCTGCTGCTTGTCCCAACTGCACACATCGCTTCAGCGTTTACTGTAAGGCTTTCAGACAATCTTTCTCTCGTTGTATTTGATTTATTAGCTTTAATTCCAATTATATTGTATTATAGTGTGTTATCATGCATTCTGATACTATATTTAGTGTCTCAGCCTGAGATTGTTTCCGCTGTTTTTAATTATTCTGGAGTTCCCAGTTTCCCTTTTCTGGTGGCATGGATGTGCGAAATCCCTATGCCCTGCTAGTCATGGAACTGGGCCGAACCAGCCTGTTAAACCATTCACAGTGTGGTAGGAGAACATGAAAAAAGTTAGTAACTCCTTGGAAAGAATAAAAGAAAGAAGGAAAGCCAGAGTAAGGGAGCATTCTGGAAAATGCCATAAATTAAGACAGAGGACAAGTATCTACATACCAGTGAAACTATTTCTGTAATCACTCCAACCTGTTTGGTAACAGTTTATATGGCACACTTTACTACACTTGTGGAAGTATGTACATTTTCAGTGACAGAGTGAAAAAGTTTCACAGCTGAATTCCCCACTCTTCCTCTCTGCTTTCCTCTTCCTCTCTCTCTTCTTTTGTTTTTCACTGGTACCAAACTTCCCAGTCTACTAGTAAATAAAGGGGTAATTTTTTATATTGTAAAAGTAGTTGAACAGAAATAATGGGAAAGATGTGGGGTACCTCAACCGTAACCCAAGGAGCCTGCTGATTGGTCCAAGGAGCTGCATCCTAATAACTGAACCATAATTGAATCTGGAATACTTCCCCAAACTACACTGGGGTCAGAAGCACATTGCGAGTAAGACATAACAGCCTTCATCCCCACAACCACCAGGACGACCACCAGCAGGCACCGCATGTGCATAGAAGCAATAGTTAGGGGTGGAGTTTGGAGTATAGAAAGGGCGTGGTTTACTGTCACGAATCTCTTGAAGTAGTTGTAACAACCACTACTTTTCTTAGAAATATTACAAATATGTGTGTATTCATTTTATAAATACAGAACCTTGCAGCGTGCTGGTTAGGAGAGGCTATCCCCTCCCTGTCCCCTGCACTTGGCGTGTATGCGCAGCACTGAATAAGCATGCCTTCTTTATAACAGCTTCATGGTAGTAGAATTTGATTCTGCAAGTCACTAGATGGGATCTATCTGCAGAGCTTCAGTGAGTTATTTTTCCCTAATCACTGCAGTGCTAGGACCCTGGATAATCCAGCGACAGAAATGCTGCTACTGCTCCCAAAGCTTTGGGCATTTTTGATCTTTTTCAAGCTGTTTGCCTGCAGGAGGCTGCCTGCCTCCCAGGTCATTTATTGTTTATTACATGGTGAAGCCCATTTAAATGCTTTTACAGCAAAGCAGATGTTCTGGAGGGGGCAGCCTGGCTTCCCAGTGGATCAGTGTGAGTCAGCATAGGCACTACTTAGCACTGCCTGTGATGATACCACTTTGTGTACATTAAAGGAGAGATGAACACAGAGTTCAGTGGTGCTTGGCTCCTAAAGCTGGAGGTGCATGATTTTGTGGACAGCAGCTGGAAAACTCAGCCAGACTACATGAAGGAGCTTGAGGTGAGGGTTTGAGATTTTTCCTGTCGGGTAGGTCCAGAGGGGTAGGTTCCTTACAGGTAGCTAAGAACATCCTGAAGTGAACTGGTGGCACTTGTTTAGCTGTGTTGCTATGACACGTTCCAGCTACACAAACTGATTTCTTTATTAATAGTAGTGTAACAGCTGAGCTGAGAGATGATCAACAGAGCAAAATACTATTTTTTTTCCCTTACATCCCCTCAATAATAACTTCGGTTCCTTCTGTTAATGAAAATATGATCTGGAGGTATGAAGAAATAGGTATTTTGCTTAAGCCCAGTTTTGATATAGATCATTCTCAACTCTTTGATTGCAAAAGATTGGTGAGAATTCTAAAATCACTTGAAAATCAGAAACAACCTGCTACTACTGAAGGGTAGGAGTTGTAAACACTAAGCACCATTCTGGAGAAGAGAGAGGTCTTCAGGGAGCTACCATTTAGACTGATGTAAATATAAAGTCTATGGATTTCAGTGGTGGCTCTGAAATTTTCTCAGTGGGTTTCGAAGCAGAATTTGTCCAAGAAAGAGACCTTTGAATTCATACTGAAGGTGTTTAGTCCTAGAGGAATTCTCATCAGTCAACGTGTGGATATTGGAAAATCATATCTTTTGAACAATTGTAAAGGCAATGCTGAAACATCGTTTTGCATTTGAGTGAAAGTCAATGAAACACTAGCCAGAATGCAGATATTCATTTGTCATATCCCTTGCAAATATGCTTTAATTGTTTTCATATTTAAATGCCCAGATCCATAATCAATGTGAATGTCATGCTGCTAGGAGATTTCTAAACAAAAGGTAGCTCTCTGAGGTGTGTGGCTATTTTTTGCCAATTTCCAGTGTTCTCAACAGGATCACAAAAGAGCTAGAATCAGGATGAGAAGAAATCAGTCATGTCTGGCTGGAGTCTCCTAAAGTTTTAAAATAACTTTAAAAATTGTATGTGATGGCACAGTTAACAAACACGTCTCACTCTAATTCATAGGAGG